TCATTAGGCGTTCGACAGACACATCTCTTCTGCCATCTCACATCAATTCTCCATCTTCCTAAACCTGCTCTGCTTTGATGAGCTCGCAAACTACTTTATGTGATATTGAGCCAAATATATTGAATTCCACTTTGCCCATTTAGGTTCACATTTGCGTGTTGAGTCGTCACATAAAGCGGAGAGACAAATGGAGGTACGGCGAGGACACACTTTTGACAAAGGTGTGAGGACCGGAGCGGGTCTGCAGATGCTTTTTACGCGTTTTTGTGTGTCTGAACTGAACATTCGTGACTTAAACCAGAGACAGTGTGTGCTGTTTTTTTGTCTCATTCAGAAAACTGTCAAACATTTGAATAGGGTCTCTGAAGTGACCACCCAAAAAAGAGCAAACGTGGGCCAAAATGATCTATTTGGTGGTATACAGTAAGGATGGACATTTGATTAAATTTCCTTAAGTTGATTGTTGGGAGAATTAACCAATTTTTGATTAATCATTAACATTTTTTTTTAATTAAAATTATCATCATTATTATTATTATTGCTAATCTGCATAAATAAGCTAAACTTTACAACATCTAAACCATAACCATTATAGAGCCACATCAGCCCGTTTGAGATTATAATGTGTTTAATGCAGCTTTGACACATTTTACAGAAGCAAAACTTCAAACTGCATCACAAATTTGCATAAACTATAAGTGCTGAAAAAAACAAACAAAAACAAACAAACAAAACAGCTCTTTCCTTGTGCACTGATGTGGTTCAGCTTCTGTCGGACTAAAGGACACGACTCTGTGGAATATGAGTGTTCTCTCTGTGACAGAGGATGTGCTGATGATGATGATGATGGTGAGTGTGTTCTGTGTGTGTGTCGTGTTGGAGATGGTTCATGTTTTCAGAGATCAGACGTGTGCAGGTTTAGTGCAGCTCTTTATTTAACATCATTTCACTCCCTTTATTTATGTTGGTCGCTTTATTTATTTTGGCTTCTGTTGTGATGAAAAGACTGAAAAGTGTTTGTCTTTTGGACACATGTGACTCAACTTTATGTTGCAGTAACCAGGATACTGTGTCTAGTGCTGTCAAGCGATTCAAAAATTGAGAGATTAATTAATTATGATCTGTAATTAATTAATCTCTTTTTAATCTCACCTAAAAATTGCTGAGAAAAGCTTCAACTTGAGGTATTTTCATTTAAATTCATTATTACATTATTATGGCAGATCAAAAGACTGATATAGAACAAAAAAAGTGACTTTATAAATGTATTTATTTATTTATTGTTTAACAACTTTAACAGATGCAGTCACTTACATTCCACAGTATCATCATTATTATTACTGTTACTAATCTGCATAAATAAACTCGACATATAAACACAACCACTCTAGAGTCATATCCAGCCCGTTTGATCTTATAATGTGTTTAATGCAGCTTTTCGCAAGTCTCACAGAAACAGATCTTAAAACCGCATGGCTAATTTGCATAAACTAAGCGGAGAAAAAAAACAAAACTCTTTTGCACTGATGTGGTTCAGCTTCTTTGGGACTAAAGGACACGACTCAGTGGAATATAGATGTTCTTTCTGTGACAGAGGGATGTTGACGGAGCCTGGTCTTCTTACACTACACTACGCACAGCAACGGCTTGTCGATTAAAAATGAACGTGACAAAATTCTTAATGATCAATTATCGATCAGTCGATTAATCACGCCCATCCCTCAAATACAGTAGAAACAAACATAATTGTAATAATAACAAAGTAAAAGCTTTAACTTTCTACAGTTAAGAGACAGTTTTATTCTAATGCCTTATTGTTGGCACTTTGATGTGACATAATGCATTTTAACATTTTGAAGCATTCCTTAGATTATAGTAGTTTTCTCATTTTATTTTTATATTTATAACATGTCATATTAAAGACATTTATTGGACAATCCCGATCTCCTGTTTTACAAAGCATTTGCCAATCGTTGAGACACTGAAGGAGACCCACATTTGGGGTCTACAGTTGGTTTCTGTATTCTCCCTAATTTCTTATTCGTTTGAAATGCTCTAATTAAGTCCTATTGCACCCGGGCGGCATTCACTGACATTAATTTAATTTCCTGTCCCAGAGATGTAAAAGGGTCATGAGGCGTCATGTATTTCCATAAAGAAGACTGCACACATTATGTATGCATGAGTGATACATCAGGGGCACAGGGTTAATTCAGTGTTTAATCGAACACATTCTCTGCCATTAGACTTGGATTTGCATACTTGGCTAAATGAAATGTTTTCTCTGTAAACAGTTTCAACGGTTCAGCTTGTACCAGTGCATACTGCCATTGTGTCCATGGGCAAGACACTCGACCCACCTTGCCTCATGTTTTGCTATACTCTGTTGTATCAAATAGATAAGGAATGCTACGGGATTGTTATACAATGTTTTACAACTCTAATCTAATGTAAACCTAGCTTGATTCAGCAGTTTCACTTTATGGAAACCATCTGACATCGCAGCATTAGGCATCATTTAATTTTATTTAACCAATCGCTGCTATTTGGTCGTGACATATGTAATGTGCCAAATCCTGTGGGAAGAAGGGCAGTAACGTCTTTCCCCTTGATAAAATTCACCAAACATTCTCTTTATTCCAGCTTTAAATCCTCAATCCCGGAAAACATTGCCAAGACAGAATGTATGGCTTTGTCTACATCCATCTCGACCGCTTTGTTTACTGTTGTGCTGTACCACAAAAGGAACACAGATAGGCGCAACGAGTTCGATGGCATGGCTTCACAGCTCTTTGTTGATTGGCTGGTGCCGGTCTACAACTTCCGGGGTTCTTGGAAACTGTCTGGTGCATTCCCATTCCTGACCTAGTTGCTGGAGAGAAATTAAATTGAGCGGAGACACTAGGTGGGCCCAGCCTGGCTAATGTAAACCATCTGGTTATTATAATTAGTGCAGCACAAATAGCTTGATTCAGTTTACCTGTGACCTTTTTTCATTTTAAGCCATGAACACATAATAGAAAATAGTCCTCTATTTTGATGATGCTCCATGCCAAAAAGATGGTTCTCATTTTGTTTGAAAATGAGCTTTTGAGGATGGCTTTGGGAGAGTGGGGCTCCCTGTAGAGATGGAGGTTAGGAAATGCTTGCGTGTGATTGGCTGGAGCAGCTCAAACTCTCCCTGAGCACCATAAGAAGAATAATGGACTTTTCAGGCTTTTCTTTAAGTATTCTTATGGAGGCGATTTGGAAACAGTGAGTTTTGACACGCTGCCAATCTGCATTCATGAAACCTTTGCACTAATCTAGCCCTGTCCTATTTCCACTGACAAACAAGCTGCGAAAGTTCACACATTGGCTTTTACAATAGAAAGTACAGTGTAACTTTTCTCAGTGGAGGCCTGGAGGTTGTTGAGTAAGTCGAGTGTATGAAAGGAGACACTCTGCCTGACCTCTGCACACACCACAGCTCCACAGCTTCACAGCTCCACGACCATCTGTGGTCATGCTTCTTCATGTGAGTCATTCAGAAACAGAGACAGATTTGTACACACATTTACTCCACACTAACTCCAGAAACAGCAATGAAGAGATACACACTTGCACACACACACACGCACACACACACACACACACACACACACGCAGGGTGAATACAAAACCTGGTCAACCCTTCGGGGACCAGGTAATAAGTTCATGAACTTCATGTTTAAACTCTGCTGAACTCAGTGAGTGAGTTTACAGCACATCAGTGTCCTGGTTAGAATTGACTTTTTTGAGTGTACAGGTTTGGTCATGGTGCATGTACACACAGTATCCCTGTTTCAGTATCCTGGATAAGGCAGATCCAAGTTATGAGAAACCGGGATACTGTAGCTGGTATATTCCGATAGTAACCGGGATACTGTGGCATGTATACGCAGTATACCGCTTACTGCAACAAAAAGTGTGCACATGCAAAAGACAAACACGTTTCAGTCTTTTCATCACAACATTAGTGACATAAATAAAGTGACCAACATAAATAAAGTGACCATAAATCAGTGAAATGAATAAACCTGCACATGAACAATCTGCACACGTATGAAAAGTTAAAACATGAACCATCTCCTCCACGATACACACACAGAACAGACTCACCATCATCAGCACATCCTCTGTCACAGAAAGAACACTCATATTCCACTGAGTTGTGTTCTGTGCTAAAGGATCATGGTTGTTTGTATTTTCCCTGGTTTATTAAATTAAGTTAATTTTTGCACATTTGTAAGATTATGTCAAGAAACCGGGACACTCCATTTGATCATGTACACAGTGATATGAGCGTCCCGGTTTCTCAGAGCACATGTACACACAGTATCCCGAGTACTGCTATAACCCAGATATGGCTAATAACCGCGATAGTGATGTGCATTAATGTGTCATTTAAATCAAAACAATTTAAATATTGGCCGTCGCCAGCGGCAACATTCTAAATTACATAACTGCCATTCCGCAACTTTCTGTATAAGTTCAGCTCCAACAGGTCACAACTTCTCAGACAGCACAGGAGACACACGGATCTCAGCAGCTCAGACACTTTTATCGACTATTGCCTTTTTGTGATTTCAAAACAATGGCACCGTGGACGCAGTACATTTTTGACGTCAGCCGAGCGATCGTGCAAGGTTTGTGAAAGAAATTTTTAAGAATTTAAAACAATCCCAACCTGAAGAGATCAAGGGTCATGTAGTTGTAATGTATTTAAAGTTACAAGAGTATCGTCTCTTTAAATGTTTTTACTAAAGTACAAGTAGAAAGTACTGATCCAAAAAGTACACAAGTAACAGTAAAAAGTCGGAAAACTACTCTGAGATGTAGAGTTTTGTCAAGAAGTTACTCAAGTAAATGTAGATGAAACGACCCATCTGTGGTTTTAAGTGTGCTTACATGAGTGTATTTGATCCTTACACATAAACATGTAGTAACCAAGTAATAACAATGACATGATGTGTTCACAGGGTCCAGGCTCGTCTTTACAACTGGACTGAGCCTTTTCCAAACCAGGAAAAGAAAATCCAGAGACTCAGTCAACTCTGACTTTGAGTCCAAAACGTCCTGCTCCAAAAAATCTACACTCGGAGGAGAAACACTGAACAGGACTAAGAGGAGGAAGCTCCAAGAAGAAGGTACGAGATTCAACTAAACCAGGACTAAACCAGGACTAAACCAAGACTAAACCAGGACTAAACCAGGACTAAACCAAGACTAAACCAAGGACTAAACCAGGACTAAACCAAGACTAAACCAAGACTAAACCAGGACTAAACCAGGACTAAACCAGGACTAAACCAAGACTAAACCAAGACTAAACCAGGACTAAACCAGACTAAACCAGACTAAACCAGGACTAAACCAAGACTAAACCAGACTATACTAAACCAGGACTAAACCAGACTAAACCAGGACTAAACCAGACTAAACCAAGACTAAACCAAGACTAAACCAGGACTAAACCAGGACTAAACCAAGACTAAACCAAGACTAAACCAGGACTAAACCAAGACTAAACCAGGACTAAACCAAGACTAAACCAAGACTAAACCAAGACTAAACCAAGACTAAACCAGGACTAAACCAGGACTAAACCAAGACTAAACCAGACTAAACCAAGGACTAAACCAAGACTAAACCAGGACTAAACCAGGACTAAACCAAGACTAAACCAAGACTAAACCAAGACTAAACCAGGACTAAACCAGGACTAAACCAGGACTAAACCAAGACTAAACCAAGACTAAACCAAGACTAAAGACTAAACCAGGACTAAACCAGGACTAAACCAAGACTAAACCAGGACTAAACCAGGACTAAACCAGGACTAAACCAAGGACTAAACCAAGAACTAAACCAAGACTAAACCAGGACTAAACCAGGACTAAACCAAGACTAAACCAAGACTAAACCAAGACTAAACCAGGACTAAACCAAGACTAAACCAGCACTAAACCAGGACTAATCCAGGACTAAACCAAAACTAAACCAAGACTAAACCAGGACTAAACCAGGACTAAACCAAGACTAAACCAGGACTAAACCAAGGACTAAACTAAGACTAAACCAAGACTAAACCAGGACTAAACCAAGACTAAACCAGGACTAAACCAGGACTAAACCAAGGCAGTCATTGTATTTAGATCAAGTCAAATCCACTTGTTCCATTTTGTCATTGTAACAGAAGTAATAATTGTATTTTCAGACTGCACTCCTTCCATCGCTCACAGCTTGGGTTGTGAACTCAGCGTGAGTAGAAATACCAAAAAAAGAAAATCCACCGACGAGGGGTTCAAACCTGAGCCCAAAAAACCTCGTTGTGAGGAATCCGCCAAAGGTACAGGCAGAATCCACAGAGAACTATTGTATCTTTAGATGTATACACTAAACCGGGACTAGACCAGGACTACAACAGGACCAAAATACTAATCTAGGACCAAACCAGGACTGAAACATATACATCATAGCTACAACTAAACCTAACTAATACTGTTAATGTGCTCTTGGGCAAGACACTTTGCTCCCTTGTCTATGTGTGAATGGGTGTTGTAATGTCATATTGGATGATCATACTAATAATATTTTTTTTTTTGTAAAATGAACTCAGTGAGTGACTTTGCGCTGACATACGAGGAGCATGAGCAGCTCGGAGAGGGAGGATTTGGGTCGGTGTTTGCCGGCGTCCGGATCTCAGACCAACAGTCGGTAAGATATATACACTTTTTATCATTTACAAAACTTCAAATGCACAGTTAATATAAGTTCAAATGACTTCAAGTGATTTTTCATGTAGAGGGTCAGTCTCCATAGAGATGGAGTTTCTTCCTGGAGACCGTTCAATTCAGAATAGAATCTATAACATCTATGAATGTCCCTATAATTTCACATTTTCACTTGACTCCATTATAGAATCATGTTCTAATGTCTGATTTTCAGGTGGCCATTAAACACATGAAGAGGGACAACGTGGAATTTTCTCTGGTGGTAAGTGACATTTTTGTTGTTTTGTAGTTTTGTAACATTTTATGGATTTTTAAAATCGTTGTATCGGTATCATCAAATAACCAGACAAATAATGGACATCAGTATCCACTAAAAAGTCTGTGCGCTACTATCACCTCTCACAGCTCTTTTCTATTAGTGATGAATGGACTGATACCAAATAGGAATACTGATGTAGCCTGGAGGGAATTCATAAAAATCGTGCACTTCTGGAAAAGTTTTTGATTTTTGGCAGAGTGTTAGGTACAAGCTGTGATGCCGTCCTAGTGGCCAGTGTGCATAAAATCCAAAATAGCCCCTGTCCAAACAAGAAAAGGTTATATCTCTGCTTCCTTTAGTCTTACTTTGTAGTAGAATGTATTTTTTCTACTTTCTACTTCCTACTGTTTGATACAAGCAATCCAGTTCCTCTATACAAGACCTGGTGCACCTCCCGAACACGTACACCCACTCTAAAGCCCCCTCCCCGGTTAAGCAAGGGAGAGGCACCTCGGCGGAATTTGGTGACCTGTGTACTCCACTGCAGCAAAATTTGGTGACCCAGGACTGTTCCATTCTGCAGTCGACTCTTCAACATTTGGTCGAACACATTCTGGAGCATTTTATAGAACCATGAAACAATTTCTGCACCTTATTTGACTTGATTTCATTTCACAGATGGGTTTAGAGGCCTGGCCGGGGGCCATTTTGGATTTTATGCATATCGGCCACTAGGGGGTGACCCCAACTTGTATCCATGGATTTTTAAAAACCTTAGGTCCATACCTAAACACCCTGCTAAAAATCCAAAACTTTTCCAGAAGTGCACAATCCTCATGATATTTCACAAATTCCCTCCCAACTAATGGAGGTATCAAAAATCACAGTTTGTTTATTTATGTTTGGTAAAACTTTGAAAGACACTGTTTATATTTCAGTTAGTGCATTTAAAAGTCATAAGGGAAGGATCATAACTCATAGGAATCAGATCAATATTGTGATACTTGCCATAGTTTTACTGTATCAGATTGAACAAAACTCACTAGTACCACCCCAGGAATATCTGACACTGCATTTGTCTCTGATTGTGGAATAATCTGTTTTGTTTACATTTTCCTCTTTTAGAGCATTGAAAATGAAGTGTTGACCGTCCCCTCTGAGGCCGTCCTGATGAACAAAGCTGCTCCGGATCGGCACTCGGTCGGACTGAACCCCTCGGTGACTCTTCTCGACTGGTACCTCCAGGATGAAGGCCAGGAGGTGGTTCTGGTGATGGAGAGACCCACCCCATCCCAAGACCTGTTTGACTACCATCAGGAGAATGGCCCCCTGACAGAAGCTCACGCAAAGGTATGCAAAAAAAATATACATACGCTTGGGTGTCATAAATTAGTAGTAAATAAGCCTATGTAGCAGAGAACAGCATCTCTTCTTTCATCTCATATATAATTAATGCCATTTGTAATACATTTCAGTTACTTTTCTAATCCACGTTCTTGTTATTGTCCGGCAGGAGCTGATCCGTCAGGTGGTGAACGCGCTGGTGGACCTTGACTCAAAACAGATTTTCCATAGAGACATTAATATGAAAAATCTCCTGGTTCAGGCGACAGAGTCTGGCCCAAGGATCAGGGTCATAGACTTTGGCTGTGGCTGCGGCGCCCAATCAGAGCCCTTCTACAGTTTCAAAGGTAATATTCCTAACCAACGTAGTAGTAATAGCAGCAGTAGTAGTTAAAGTACAAGATCACTAAAGATGCACCATGCAGTCTCTCAACGTCTCTACTTATTTCAGTGTGTTTCTTTTTGGTTTTCAGGAACACCAGAATACGCACCTCCTGAGGCCTATGGGACTGAAGGATACCGCGCTGCTCCTACCTCAGTGTGGCAGACGGGGGCGCTACTCCACGAACTGCTGCGCTCTAAGAGTGACAAAGGGTTCACCACAAAAGATTTCATGAAGGGTTTTCCATACATTTCCTTCTTGAGTCTGAGTGGTGTGTCCCAAGGTACGAGCAGAGAAACACACACATTATTTAGATATGATTTAGTGTTCATGTCATTAGATAAAACATTCAAGATGTCGGACCTTCATTTGAGAAGATAGATGACACAGTTCACCCTTAAACACTGCACCAATGACAGTATCTACAGAACGGATCCTAGAAGTTTTTGTCACTTAAAGGTTGTATGGAGGATTTTTTTTTTTAGTTTCAAATTGTCAATGAAAGTTTAAAATACCATTACAGAGACGCAGCAGCCTTGTAATTATGATGACCAAAAAAAAAAAAAAGAATGAAAATCTATCAACTGTGGATGTAGTGAGGCCAGATAAACATCAGCCAATAAATACTCAGGCTCTCCTTATTTTCTATTGGCTGTTAGGTTGTCAATCAAACTCCCTAGTGTAACTGACTTGCCAGCGTGCAGGAATTACGTGGTTTATGTAGCGGTTCTTAGAGGCTTTTTCAAACTGTAGCTTCCTCGCATTTCGCACAAAGTTTGTCGCGATGGCGGACGAGAATCCACGACCAGTTCACCGCAAAAGAAAGTCGGTTTATGAGGTCGCTGAAAGATGAAGAGAAGGGGAAAAGGAGCAAATCGGTCGCTAAACTACTTCTAGACACTTCAACAGTAATTCTGGCTGTAAACAAGCGTGATTTCTAGAGTAAAGAAGCGGGAGGAGATGTTTCTACTGAGGGAGCTGTGGAGGATTAAGGTGGTGTCCCACATGCACATGCACTGTCGCTGTACTTTTCTCCCCTTAAAAAATCCTCTGTACAACCTTTAAGAACTTAAGAACTCACAGTGGGAAGAGCAACTATGAAGTGTACACTGTAAAACTTGTCTTGTGTGTTTGTTTTTGCAGAGTGCAGTGACTTCTTGCGGGCCTGTCTGGCACTGGACCCAAACCAGAGGATCCCTTTGGACCAGCTGAGCCACCATCCCTGGTTGAGCCTGGTCTAAAAGTGCATGGTATTCAACCCCATGTACCCTGTAAATAAATGTAAATAAGTGTAAATAAGTGTAAATAAATATTCTTTACCTCAAATGTGTTGTTCAGACCTGATGAAATACACTGCAATGATATTGATTTGATTTTTATAAAAGAGAGACAAACGTACATGCACTGGACATGAAGGATTTGACTGATTTATTTCATATAAAAATAATGATCCACTGATGTCATAGATTATAAACACACACACACACACACACACACACAGACACACACACACACACACACAGAGCCCTTTGAGCCCATCTCTTTTAATAAAAGAACTGATCTCCAAACGTCTGTTCAGCATGTTTGTGATGGTGCAGTGGAGCAGTCCTCACGTAACATCGGCAGAGCTGCACACACTCGTACTTTTAAAAGCATCAGTTTACACCAGAGGCATCAGAGCTGCTCCTGTGACGCCAGCCTCTGTGTATTCTCATGTTTGAACATGAAACTTCTTACACTGTTTATGTATTCATTGTTGATTGGACGAATTATGTTTTAAATCACAAACGTTGACAACAAGAGAGATGATGCTTTACATCTGTGGTGTTGCCTTAATTAAGTTGCTCACCATTTAACTTTGTTTGTCTGCACCACATGCCTTTTCCTTCAGACGTTGTACTTGTAAAGTTGCTGTTTGATGTTGTGTAGTGTTTTATATTTATCCTCTATGGCCAAGCCTGGAGACGCTCAGTTGACGTTGAAAAATTAAAACTCCAACCTAATTTGAGCGGCGTGTAGTGTCATGACGTCCACTGGTCACATGTATGACACTGCTGGTGTAAACTGTCCGACCGGTTATAATGGAAAGTGACACTTGTGCGTGTCCTGCGGATGGGTAAGACATCTGTGCTTTTCTCTCAACTGGATTTAATTTAAGTTTGATTTTTGGGCTTATTCCACTGCTGTAACCCTAAAGACCAATCAATATTCAGAGGGCCACACAGGACAATGTGGTGAGAGCCAGGTTATATATGTGCTGCGATACACCACCATGTTGTTAGTTTACACGACTGTAGCTGCAGCTCAGAGGAATCCTGCTGACATAAACATAAACTATACATGAATAATCTATTTATCAACAAGGTTTGGCTTGAAGAGCACTCGTTCATAAATAAATCTGTTTTTTTTTTTTTTTTTAATATGCAATCTTGCTGCTAGATAAACATCTCTCAACTTATTTTTCCAGTGATTGTGTGGAGCCTCCACTTGAGCAGCCTGAGTCTTTCGGAGTACAATATTCACAGTTCACACTTTGTGATTTGGTCTTCGGTCTGTGATTTTCACAAATAAATTGTTTATAAAACATTATTTTAAAGATTTTCATTATTTCTGAAGATAACTTTAAAGTGATTATGATGTCTAAACAATTCTTTTCTATGTTATTTCACACTGAATGCAACTTCAAATTTGGTCAAATTTTAACAGTCCCAACATATATAAGCACAATCTCCCACAGACCACAACCCCCTTTTTCCTTAAACAGGAAGTATTTTACTTCTCTGGGGTATTAACATGATCTATTAAAATAACTGGAGAGGGTATTGCTGCTTAGAACTGTCTTGAGTTGGCTTAGTGGCCACTCACTGGTACTACAGCCAGAACATCCCTCCTGCCCAGAAAGGATTATTAATCATTTAAATAATTTCTCCCACAGAGTGTAACGTAATCACAAACTGCTCGTGTTCGGTTGACAGGGCACCTATAGTTTTCACAAAGGTCAGATTTATTGGCGATTTTACATATTTTCAGATCATGAACAAAAATTTTTCTCAGCTCGTTAGCTCCGACTCGGATCTAGCTCCTCTCGCTTTGATTGGTCAAAGCAGTCACGACTGCGCTCTTTGTGCACACTCTTATGTGTCCTCTAGCCTGGAGAAATGTACCACTGAGCTCGGCCCATTGACTTAAATGGCCCCAGGGCTTGGGTATTACTACTGTAACACAAAACATATTTAGATCACCATATTACCATTTTATTGTTTGAAAATGCTATATTTGGTGAAAAGTTATATTTTAGTCTTTGAAGCTTTGAATCTCCCCCTTCAGAGCACTTTCTGACTCTATTACAACACAACAAGCAAGTGTCCTGCGAATGAAACTACTGCACATCAAGTTTGTCAAGTTGCTGTGTACAGTTTGTATCATGTTTTTTGTATATTTATGGAGAACTGTCGTGGAGGAGCTTGGGTGCGCAGACTTGTGGACTGAGCTTTGGATAGAATCAAACTCTGAACCACAATGAGGATTTGAATAGGGCCCAGGAGAGATTGCTGAAGCTACAAAAATAGATTATGCATAATACCCCCTCTTTAAAATGAGAAGACTTCTAACAAAGTTTCTTCTTGACATTCCAGACCCCATTGGCCCATGATCACAGCAGCGTCTGAACCCTCTGTTCTATTTGAATCCTGTCTCCAAAGCCTCTGCGGGAGAGCGCTGCTAATGACCAGCGCAAACCCACGACGACCTTTGTGAAGCAAAAGGTTGGAACTATTAAGAGTGGGACATCTGGGACATCAACAGGAAAAAAATATACTTAAGTGAGCAGAGGTGCATCGAGTAATAAATCATATCTAAAGGAACGGTGCAAGAAACACAAATGTTCAAATCATTTCATATTGTCAACATCAGGCTTTTGTCACTTTGTCTCTGTGGGAAGATGAACCTAAACTTGTATTTAAATAAGATTATTGTCACTTCAGTAAAAATATGACTCAAGTAGGAGTAAAAGTATGCTGCTAGAAAAAGTAGTCAAGTAATGCAGCTGTGTACTCTACCCACCCCTGTGAGCGAGTTATCGAAATATGTGTGCCAATCAAAACCAGAAATAAGAAAAAAAAACAAAAAAAACAACAACAACAACTATTTTCTTCATTATTTGTCTCCAAAATCAAAATGAAAAACCGAAAACGATTTGTTTTTTTGTTTTTTGTTTTTTTCTGTAGTCCCATTTCCGTGACTTAAACAGCGATGCCGGATGGACTTTTGTGCCGCACACAGACTGAACCAGGACTATGCCAGGACTATGCCAGGACTAAACCATGTCTAACCGGGACTAAACCAGGCCCTGGTCTCAGTTCTGGTCTAGTCCCAGTCTCAGTCCCGGTCTCAGTCCTTTTCTCAGTTGTGGCCTATCCACGATATCAGTCCAGGTCTGGTCATGGTCTGGTGCTGGTCTCAGTCTCGGTCTTGGTCCCGGTCTGGTCCCGGTCCAGTCCCGATCTCAATCCTTGTCTCAGCCCCGGTCCGGTCCCAGTCTGGTCCCAGTCTCAGTCCTGGTCTCAGTCCTGGTCTCAGTTCTTGCCTGGCCATGGTATCAGTCCCTGTCTGGTCCTTGTCTCAGTCCTGGTCTGATCCTGGTCTGGTCTTGGTCTCAGTCTCGGTCTCAGTCCTGGTCTGGCCCGGTCCAGTCCCAGTCTCAGTCCCAGTCTCAATCCAGGTCTCAATCCCGGTCTCACTCCCGGTCTCAGTCCTGGTCTGGGCCCATTCTGATCCCAGTCTCAATCTCAGTCCTGGTTTGGTCTCAGTCCCGGTCTGGTCCTGGTCTTGTCCTGTTTTCACTCCTGATCACCTGACAGTCTACACGGGTGCACCTCTAGGCCTGTCCCAACACTCAGTCCTGGTTCAGTCGTGGTTCAGTCCTGGTACATCTCAGTTTGTCACGGAAATTGGAAACGGCCGTTTTAAAAAAAAAAGTATTATTATTATTTTTTTATTAATTTAAACACAAAATCGAAAAACTGAAAAACAAATCATTATCCATTTTTTTTCATTTTGGTTTTGGAGACAAATAATGAAGAAAAGTGTTGTCTTTTCATTTTCTTATTTTTGGTTTTATTTTGAAAAACGAATGAACGAATGACACAGGGATTATCAATACAGGCGAATTCCTTTTATGGTGTAGTTACTTCCCGCGCTAATGGAGCTGGACTGACGGATGGCGGCGTATAAGGCGGGCTAATCTGTGCTTAGAGAGGCAGAGCGAAGAAGAGGAGTGGAAGGCCAACAGATCAAAGCATATTACACTGGCTTCACGTGGAGAAGCGCTGAGGAGGGAGAGATCCATCCATCCGGCCGTCCACGCTTTAAAGTTCTGGTTC